CTGTTACTTTACCTTTCCCTTCAAATCCAAGACGTACACGGCGCTCGCAGACATCTTGAACTTATTTACACGAGCCCAGCTAAGCTCGTTATCAGTTGATAATGTTGGCGAAAACTAGTTCAGTGCTAAAAATCAAAGAACAGACTTCCATTCATAATACTGAAAAGAAGAACACAACCCTTCCCCTTTTCTTAACACTCTACATTCGCAAGGAGCGCCCCCTGTGGAATAGGAGGGAGCACTACAAGTCTCTGGCATCCTTTTTTTTTTAAAACAAAAAACATTTTATGGTTAAGTCAGTAAGACAGGAACTTAATTTAGATCATTATTAAATAATCTATATGGTAACAACAACAACAACAATAATAAAATAATAAAATAATAATAATAACAATGACCTTTAAAAACAGGGCTTATGCTTAATTATCTCACCCTTTTAAAATAATTATTAGTCTTTGAGGTAACCAAACAGCCTGCATATAAGCTGGAGTCATGATGGAGTGTAAACCAGTCTGGTGTGTAATCATGCCACTGATCATGCCACCTACTGTCATTGTTGTCATGTTCACATCCATGATAGAAACTGCTGCTCATGTCTTATCTCACTTTTGCTGACATGCTGTGAGATTCTTGATAGAATCTGAGAACACAACAAAAAGATCCGGAAGATTGAAACTGGCAAAGATGGCTAAATACTGATTAGACATTTCCATGCAAACATGCCAGTATAAACATCTTAGCAATCTCATAGTTTCTGGTTTGTGTTATCCTGTATGCTGACACCAACTTTGCTTTAGTATTGTAGCTCCATCTTCTGGATTGATGTGTCACACATGTTTTACGATACATAATGATCACCACAAGATAGCACCGTTTTCAACTGTTTTAGTGTCCAACAGAATAAAGTGCAGCAGTGGGTCTTAATTAAATATGACAGCACCAAACAATTCAACATTTGCTATATAATAAAATACATGTTTTCATATTTATTACTAGTAAGTTAACTTGTCGATTACTTTGAATAGTTTAGATTTTAGGGGTGCACTGGTCAACACTGTCATCTCACAGCTTCAAATCTGTGAGGTTCCATATTCTACATTTGCAAAGACATGCATGTGAAGTTAGCTGGTGATTTTAAATTAGCTGCAGTTGTGAAGGTGACAGTTGGCAGTTGTCTGTGTCAGGCCTGTAATGGAGCGGCATAGGCTCCAGGCCTAAGAGGTTTCAGTTTAATTTCAGGCACTTGTGTTGGAAGGTGAATGATTTGCATTTCTGCTTAATTTCAAAGATCTGATGATGTCAAAATAGGAGTCAATACATGACACAACGAAAAGCTTTTATTTATAAACCATGGCTTTGTGCATATGGTGCCTTTAGGGTCACTTTAAACCACACCAACTGTAAATTGTAAACTGTAAATTCTAATTGTAACTCTCAAGCATATATTTATGTATTTTCTTCTAATTTTATATATCTATGTATTAGCTTGCTTTGCACTGATGTAACCGGAGCCTCGTCGTCTCATTTCTCTGTATGCTGCACTGTATATAGCAGAGATTACAATAAAGTTTACTTTGACTTTGACTTGACTCATACCTTACTGTAGGGTGCAATCAGTGTTTACTATTTCTATGTGGATATTTGTCCATTTGACCATCTTCTGGAACTTCTCAAGAGCTTTTCTGTCTTGGTTGGCTGATCTAATTAAATTACTGTATTGGTAAATACTCGGATAACTGAAGTTGAGCTTTTCATTCAAGTGATTTATTTCTGTGCAAATCTTCACAGCCAGAAACTGATTTGAGCCGATCTTAAGTCTAGTCCCCTTAATGCAAATGATAATCCCACTAAATGATGGTGTGCAAAATATAAATGGCATCCAAGCAACAAACTCTGACTTCCTCAGAGGTGAAACACAAGGAGAAGTCCTGCTGTTTAACATACAAAAAATATAATGCTTATTAATGTGTCAGTGTGTCAAATTACACAAAGCTACTGCAGTGATATTGGAAGCATTACAGGCTTAGTATTAAGATAACAGAAGCCCGAGAGCTTGTTCAAGTGTGCTAACCCAAACAAACACACTTGGCTAAATTTGCATTCCCAGCTAATAGAGGTAGCTGAAGAGAGGACAATACAAAAATGCATTGTGGGTGAAAATAAAGCTGTACACAGTCCCACTTTCTACTGGTTTTGCACCTCTGGCTTTGGTATGAAAAGAATCTCAGCTGTGGGTTTGAGCAGCCCGACTGTCATCCTAATGCAAATGATCATCGTACTAATTACAACAGCTGATGTGAAAGGATGAAATGGCATCCCAGCAACAAATACTGACATCATCAGAGGTTAAAACACCCATGAAACACAAGTAGAAGTCCTGCTGTTTCGTATCATCTAAAAATATAATGCTTATTACTGTGTCGGTTTATAATGCACAAACCTACTGCAGTGATTAGGGAGTATTACACGTTTATTATTAAATTAAACTAAATCCAGGATCCTGCTTCAGTGCACGACTCCAAACAGTTGGTGTTTGTTCTTCTTTTTTAATTGATTTTTAGCACCCAGTCTCGGAGTCTTGGAGTGACTCTTTCAGCTGTGGGCTTGCGTACGAACACTGCACCCTGTCACGGTGACAAATCTCTCATCCCTTGGCTGGAGCGATGGAGTCTACACATTGTCAGAAGTCACAGATACAACTGGACTGGACTGAGTTACACAGCCAAATATAACAGACTGCTGCTTCCCTCAACCACTTCCATACTTTCTACGTGCCGTTTGTGTCTCGTTTATAGACATGTTTGTACAGAACCCTCATAGATCAAGAGAGCTGATATGTTTACTCTGGCTGACAAATCGGTTTGTCTCACTCTGAGTCAATGCATCACCCAGGTGTTACATTTGATTGTACAGGTATTCCCACCGTAAATCCTTTGAGTAGTATATGTTCTTTATTGTGTCATCAAACAGAGTACATAAAGCACAACTGCTTTTGTAAGTAAAATGAGTCCACCATTATGACAAATCCATGACATCAGCCATTTAAGACTTCTAAAAGAGTGCTAGTTTGTGTCCTTTGTGGTACTGCTCATGTAAACTCTAATCTGTTCCACCATTCCCATAGCTTTGTGATTTATACTTAGCAGGACTTTGACTCTACTCCCAAGGCGATACTGTGGCTTTTGGGGGATTTTTTACCATACAAGGAGAAGAGGAGTTTAGCTGGGTTTCCTGTGGGAGGGTTCTGATTTCTCTCACTCCACTTCTGATTCTCTCTCTCTCTCTCTCTGATATCTCCTGTCCTATCTCTTTCTGTTCCCCTGCACAGGTTCTGCTCCAAACCTGCTTTCTCATCACAAGAAAGCGTGAACAGCGTCCTGAATATCATTTAGTGAAAGATCTTCCAAATTCCCCGATTGCAAACGCGAATGCAATTGTGTAACCATAACACTTTGTGCAACTGGCATTCTGACACACCAAATAAGGTGCACAGTCACTACCAACACTGAATGTAATGATGTAAGCTTGTGTTAACTCCAGGATCTTGAAGCTATCAAACTGCCACCACGTTTGTAAACCTCTGCCTAAAAAGGCTCCTGTGTGCTCACATCCTGCTGGTCTCTTACTCAGAACGCAAAGAAAAGATTGAAATTCCTACAACCGTATTCCATCAACTTTCCTCAACGTTACCCTGGAAAAGCCCAAAAGGCCAACTCAAAACTAAAAAAAAAGAAAAACAAACACATCAGACAGTTTTTTGTTTGACAGATTTCTTTATCCAGTCTTAACCAGCTCTAACTTCAGCTTTGTGATCACACCTTTTTTTGGTTCATGTGGGCCCAAAATTACTGAACACACAAAGGAGCTCTGTTCCTTCAGCATACCTGGAATAATGTACATTCTGGTAACACACGGCTTTCCCCAGACAGCAATTCTCCTCAGACTCAGATGGCCTGAAACACAGACTCTCAGGTTTATACAATGCTGTCTTTACCAGAGCTTGGCCAAAATAGTGTCTGTATAAAGACTAATAACAACCAAGATGATGCATGCTGCAGCTGCGTCAGTGCAACGTGAACAACAAGAGATGCATTAGTCCAAGTTTATCTTGAGATGTCACTTAAATGGCCACGGCAAGACGCACCGTTCTTCGAGTTTGTGTGTAATCTTTATTTTTAGCCAGGGCAGCTGGCACAGAAGGGCTGAAAGAAAGCAGACAGGCTTATATGCGCCTCCCAGTTACTAAAGCCATATCCATGTTTTCTTTTGTTTTTCTTTGCCTTTCCTGGGGAGTTTTTAATTTTTCACTTAACAATCTACAAATAATGTGCAATTAAGTAAAAACAAAAACAAAACATGTCTTTTAAAGATCTCATAAGTGCATAAGTGCACCAAATTCCTGGAATCCGTCTTGAGTTATATCTCCCAGTCAACTTTTTTATTTAGTGCGCCTTACAAATTGGAGAAAACAGATCTAAGTACAGATCTGTCAAACCAATAGTAATTAAGAGGATTTTAATTGCACTGGACCTGTGGTTTATGTCTGTGTATCCTGACTGCAATGCTGTGGCTGCCTGGCGTGGATCACATGCAGACAGCTCTTTCCCCCAAATTTTCTTTGGCTGGATCATTTTCCATACAGCCCTTTTTCATTCAGCGCTAGAATGAAAACTATGTCCCTTTCTAACCAACTCTGGTATTAACATCAATTTGAACATTCCTAAGTAAGAACACAGGCATATAGATAGACCAAAGAGAGGCGAGAAGCCGCAAAAATTATTAATGTGAACAATTTCCCTTTTGAAGTTTGTGAGTTCTTGGTCATTCTCCTGCTTTTTATCTGCGTAAAAATCCAAACAAGGACATAGGCTGGTCAATGCTGAAATGGCTACACCATGCTGTCCCTCCAAAGAGCATTTGAGAGGTGAAGTTTAGATTAGGGATGGGGTGGGGGCAACAGTAAGTTCTAGAGGAGCCAAAGTGGGGAGTGGCGAAAGGGGTAACCGGTGGGAAAGGGCTGTCACTGGGGACTAGGGCTGTCTCCAAACCTCCTGTCAAGTTTAAATCACATACAGCTCCACCGACTCTCAGTCTGCATCCTCCTCTCCTGTGCTCGCTCGCTCCGAGCTCCCTCCTCTCTGCATCTGCCAGTTGCGCTCCCTGTCAACCTTGTGAGGGCTCCTGTGAGGCGTCTTCCTCTGAACATCTGCAGCAGCTTTTCCCCGTAACGAACTACAAAACTTCATTTTCTAAAGATCTCAAGACGCTGACACCCAACAGTCACCATGGAGGCCATCAAGAAGAAGATGCAGATGCTGAAGCTGGACAAGGAGAACGCCATCGACAGGGCGGAACAGGCCGAGACCGACAAGAAGGAGGCGGAAGATAAAAGCAAGCAGGTGACGCGTGGCTCATGAGTTTAATGTTTAATACAGGAATATTAAAATGTCACAGCATATTTACAACAAATGAAGTAAATGCATCACACGTGCATAAATTAATTTCAATAATTACTTTTTTCCAAAATATGGGGAATCTTCTTTGTCAAAAATGTGGACATTTTCAATATCAGGATTATATATCTAAATGTAGCTGTGAAGTTACTCATACCAGTTGAATTACAACATCATTATGTCATTGTGTTGTTGTTTTTTCACTTTTTCTATAATAGTTTTTTTTATAGTTTTTGATTTATTTTTGTTGCTAAAGTTCAGTCATAATCTCAAATACTAAATAAGAACACCAAAGCACAATTTACAGATTGCTGATATATTTCTCAGCAGGACTAAATGCTGAATCACAGGGATCAGTTGATACTGAGCTCCTTGTTCTGCAGTAGGAGACGGTGGAGGATATCCACAGAGATGGCTGTGACAAGAGCTAGGCTTATTATCCGAACTGAATCAAAGGAAAAGCTGCCGGGTTAAAACAGACCTATAGAATATCACGGTCTGACTCTGGCAGCATCCTTATCAGAAGTGAAGTTTGTATAATATAAAACCTCATAAATTTCTGTGCCCCCATATTTGGCGCCGCAGCGCTCAAGCCACAGACAGGATGATGTGTCCCAGCCAAACTTAATGACAGTGTACTTTAATTTCATACAAACAAAATAGAATCTGGAGATGCAATAGGATATCTGAGGTTTCTAAATAGAGGCAATTATCACACAGTGGGAGATGGTGTCCTCATTAATGTGGTATGAAAGGAATGTTAGAGAGCAGCAAGTTAGAGAGACTCGGACAAAGCCAGGATGAAGGATCGAGCAAGTGGAAAGTGTAAATATCCACTCTCTGGTAGCTAATGCCATAACAGCTCCCTCAGAGAGCACAGGGAGCATCAGTTGTCACTGGCACTGCACATATGGACCCTCAGCATGTCTTCAGGAGCAAAGAACAGTCAGCATGAAATCCTAGAAGATTATGCAGAGCTCTTTAGTTTGTTGGGATGGCTGCAGCTCAAATAGTGCTAAGAGATGCTTTCTTTGCTATTCTTGGCATGACGAGTAGACTTTCAGAGTGCAGTTAGGCTGACGAAAGGCACTGAAAATACACAAAACTGCATGCAAAATTAACATCTATTACACACAACATCAGGCACAGACTCCGGCGGCAATTAAAGGATTGGGCCACCCAGACTCTGCAGCTATGTGTCTTTTCAGAAGGAATGTCCTAATTACCTCACATAATCTACAGGCTTCATGGTGAATGTTTGACTCTGGAGCTTTTTAAGTGGAAAGAATAACCCTGATTAAAATAACAGCATGCATGTATTTGTTGAGAGGAGCTAGCTGTAGTCCAAAATCATGCACCCACTACGTATTTTCACCTCCTTATCTTCAAGTGAAATTCATCTTTCTGAAATACATCAGGATTATCCCCAAATAGCATTTAAGTGATCTGTATAAGATCTATCGCCCACTACTGCTTTCTGTCATATACCAGAATTTCATCATACTCACTTTAACTGAACAAAAATCTATATTTGATTCCTGACTTTCTCTCACATCTGCCTTTTCTCAGCTGGAGGATGAGCTGCTCGCTCTGCAGAAGAAACTGAAGGGAACAGAAGATGAACTGGACAAGTACTCCGAGGCCCTGAAGGATGCTCAGGAGAAACTGGAACTGTCGGAGAAGAAGGCCACAGACGTGAGTTCACCACCAAGACGCCATCGGAAAGGCATTATTACAGTGGAACCCCACAGCTTTTAAAATATCAGTATCAAATACTTCATATGGACTGAAATAGATATCACTCTATGAGAGGGGAAAAGGGGACCAGTAACATGGACACACATTCCTCTCTGTCAAAGCTGGTTTAAACAAAATCATTGGCTAAAGTGCTTGACTCAGATGAAGAGTTGCCTCTTATGCTTACATAACCCAAAAAAGGAAATGTCTGGACTCGCCCAAAAGTTTAGTGCAGCTCGGTTGTTTCTAAAGTGCAAAATATGAACGTGAAGTGATTAAATCACTGACGGTCATACATAAAATAATAGGATAGGAATAAAAGAAGACGTGAAAGATTGTTACTTTAAAGAACTGCCTTGAGATTAAATTTTTTTTTTTAAATCCACCCCAATGTAAACTAATAACCCAGAAATCCTGAATTGATTATCTTGCATCTTCTAACCCAGACCGTGGAGATAATCACAGTTATTGGTGGTTCACTGAGGTCTGTAGCTGAGCTATTTCTCAAGCACAGACACAACTTGGCCAGCCTGTTACCGACCAAAGAATTTCAGGAATGCAGCCTAAGCAAACAGAGAACCCCGTACTGCAGTTTCTAATGAAATCAATGCTTTGGCCTTTTTTGGGGCTGAGACGTTATTCTCTCCTCAGTCTAGCCTTTACAGTAACATACCTAGGCAGTGTGCAATGCTGAATATATGCCGACCTTTGGAGACCATCTACATTTATGTCATGTATTTATTGCTTAAACATATCCTTTCCAGGAAAATGATGGGAATCTAACTGGGGATTATGCCTTATCACAAACAAAATAAATCCGGACACAGACTTGACTTAGTTTGCTTTTGGGAGTGAATCGTGACCAATATAATAATATTGATCTGACACTGGGAATGAAAAAAGTGGTTTTGAAGGTGGCTCGTGGACATTCTCTTCCCTTCAAGTCTGTGAAGTTTTCAGGAGGATTTGGAAAGTGTTTCAGCTTCACAAAGCAGGTAAAAATCTGAGCTGAAGTAAGTGAGACGATCTCAAAGGTTAGAGGTGATAACAGGATTTTATTCCTCTGATGGTTTATCAGGTGGCCACAAATACTTTTTAGCTTCTTTCATACATATAAATGTAGTAAAAGAACGAAAACGTGAGGGGGAGGAAGAGTAGGAGGCAAATGGGGGCGATGAAGAAATGTGTCGCCACCCGATGGCTGCAGGTCATGTCTGCAACCAAATCAATTTACATTCCACGCCACTGCAGGTCAACAACCCCTAGTGAAAAGGATTATTACGGCCCCACCCCACCCTTGACCCTCCTCCTCCTCCACTAGAAGTAAATCTTTGGACTTTTGATTCCGGTCCTTTGATACAGTTTACAACCTGCTCCTCTCTCCTTCACCATCCCCCACTGACATTTACTTTCCTTCCTTTTCTCTCTCAGACAACCAAATCCAATCACACGATGATCCCTTAGACGTTATTCACGCTTTATCTAACAGCAGACAAATAACACAGTGCACTTCCTCTGCCTTCAGTCCGTGCAGTTGCAACACCTTCACTTTGCCATATAAGTCCACAATAGAAAACCCTGGCCCCACAAAAAAGTGACTTTACACACCTCCTTTGTGGAGGAAAAAAAACGTCCCACATTCCCCTCCTAAATCCTGTGATGTCATCTGAGACAGGCTTCTTCACATGATTGGAGGATCTCGTCATAAATTTCCTGAAAACTCCCAGCCCTTTTTTTCCGCCGTCCCAGCACCGCACCTCCCTGATTTCCTGCCCGAGAAAAGATTTCCACAGAGCCTGCAACTTTGAGGCGAATTCATAACTTAAGTGTCTCGATTGCCGGTTCAGACGAATCCCCGTTTAAAGAAACCAAACAGTCGGAATTATGGAAGCCGTGAAGAAGAAAATCCAAGCCCTCCAGCAGCAAGTTGATGAGGCAGAAGATCGCGCACTGGCAGTACAAAAGGAGCTGGAAACTGAACGGGAACTGCGCGAAAAAGTGAGATCAGTTTGCATTTAGTCCAACTTGAAGTGAACTTCTTTTACTTTTTGTCTTGATCTGTAATTCCAGCAAACCGGTTGAGCATCTTCACTGTAATCTGGGACTGAAGCGTTTACGCACTCCTGATAGCTGGACTTGCAAAGTAGCGGTAATAATAACGCACCTAACGCGCGAAATAAAAACCGGAACCTCTGTATACAGATTACAGTAAAACAAAACAAAAAATCTGTAGTTATTTTCTATACAGTCGTTACAGAGACAAGTTGAAACATCGCTGTGTCGACATTCCTCTGCAGACTTTTGTTCGGCTGTGTTATCTAACTCCAGCCCGCCCCATATATCTACCAAAACACCAAGAAATGCTGCAAGCGTCCCCGATGTTACATTAACTGTCAGTGTGGTTGTTTGACGGTAAAGAAAATGTTAAATTGAAGGTTTTTAAAGGGTACAATCTTACAGTTACACTTCTTGTCAATCATTCAAAACTTATTCTCTTTTTTTTCTCCCTCCTTTCGCCCTTTGAGCTTTTTGATTGAATAACAGCTGACACACCGTCCATCTGAAAAGGTGCCCGGAATCCTCCTTCCTGTTCCTCTTGAGCCTCTGCACAGGAAGGAGAGAGCAGGCATGGTTATCTGCGCTATCAGTGCTGTGGGAAACAGTCTGAGGAGAAGAAAGCTGGTGTCCCCCAAACATGCTTTGGTTTACACTACAAAAGTGAAGACAGCTGTAAAATATCAGATGCCAGCATGTTTATTTAAAAAAAAAAAAGCTGTCACTGCGTTATCCTGTGTCAGCATATTAGTAAAGCAGGTAGCCAGGCTGCAAAGTCCACAACTCATCAAAGTCACTAAGGCTGAAAAGGAAAATGAAACGCAAGGACCTGATCTTGACATCTTCTTAAAGCCATGAATGAAAGGGGGGGGGGGTTATAGTGTAGCTTCAAAATAGATGAATGGATAAGCAGTTTTCAGCATTGAGCGCAAGTGGTAACCTTCCTGTTTTGGCTGCATTCATGTTTCCTTCCTGGCCTCTGACCTGCGACCTCCCTATCTCTCTCAATCTGTGGCTACAGGCTGAGGGCGAAGTAGCATCGCTGAACCGCAGGATCCAGCTGGTGGAGGAGGAGTTGGACCGTGCTCAGGAGAGACTGGGCACAGCCCTGCAGAAGCTGGAGGAGGCCGAGAAGGCCGCAGATGAGAGCGAAAGGTGAAAATCAGCATAGATCTGTAGATTCAGATGTATTTGTTACTGCTGTGAGTCACTGTGTGTTTTAATGTTAAGTGAAAGTTCTACACAGCCCACCGTCTTGAAGTTAACTATCACGAGCGTTTGCTGTAACCATGCAGATAGGCTTCAGCCTATTTCATGTGGCACAAAAAAAACTGAGCAAGCACACAAGTGAACTGGCTGAAATCACCCTCACTTGCTCATTTTCATTGGCTGGAAGTAGTGAGGGAAGCCTATTGGAATGTGTTGTTCATTCCCTCAGAGTGGAAATAAAGTTTGCTTGACTTAAAAAAAAAAGAAAAAAAGAAAAAAAAAGAGTAAAATAAATGAAAGCAATACTTTTTGTAAAACTTTGTAAAGTTTGAAGTTTTCAAGGAAAAATCAAAAACAGCAATAGCACAAAAACTAGAGGCTTAAACAGAACAGTAAGGTAAATGGCCATTAAATGGCCCATCGGAACTGAAGCAGGAAGACTTGATAACAGAACTGTATACAGAGCCATACAAGTCACAGTGTGATACAAAGATAGAGAATCCCATTAGTGCAGTGAATAGATGCCATTGCCTGTCAGTGAAATTTGACAGGTAAAAAATAACTGTTGGAAATGCAAAGTTGGTGGTTACTGAGTTAAGTCAGCTTTTAGTGAGTCTCCCAGATTACCTCTGCAATGTCGATTGTCTTTATGGTCTTGTTGGACTAAATGTTCGGCATCGTTTCCATCTTTAGAGGCATGAAGGTGATTGAGAACAGAGCCATGAAAGACGAGGAGAAGATGGAGATCCAGGAGATGCAGCTCAAAGAAGCCAAACACATTGCCGAGGAAGCCGACCGCAAATACGAGGAGGTATGAACGGACGGATTGTATTTATTTTTTTGTGAGATGTCGCTTCAGCTGATGTTCAACTGTGATTTCGTTCCAGGTCGCTCGTAAACTGGTCATCCTCGAGGGTGAGCTGGAGAGGGCAGAAGAGAGGGCAGAAATTGCAGAACTGTAAGGAGAAATTCAGTGCAGTTATTCTCACCACAATATGTGAATTTTAAATATATTCTAAGCAAGTTATTGGAGAAAAAAAAAATCTTTTCTTTCTTTCTTCCAGCAAGTGCGGTGACCTGGAAGAAGAGCTTAAGAATGTTACCAACAACCTCAAGTCTCTAGAGGCTCAGTCTGAGAAGGTAAACTCACTATCATAAAACACCTTCACACATCCACACTCATCACTGTCACCCAATACAGCCACTCAACAGGATCGGCAGCACATTAAGTGCCTTTTTTTCGTGCTCACATTCACTATTTGCATCTTCATCTCGACTACCATCACCTAAAAAACAGGGGAAGTACCCTGGTCATCCTAAAATGGCACAAACAAAGTTGTTTGCTTTTCTTTGTCTGCATAGTACTCTGAGAAAGAAGACAAATACGAGGAGGAGATTAAAGTCCTGAATGACAGACTTAAAGAGGTAAATTCATTCCCTCTGCTTAAGCTGAACCTGTGTTTTCTGAGGTAAGCTTTGCATATATATTTCAATGTGTTTACTGTTTGAAAAAGGCGGAAACCCGTGCAGAATTCGCAGAAAGGACAGTGGCTAAGCTGGAAAAGACCATAGATGACTTAGAAGGTACGCTTTCTTTCAGCCCTCATATTCTACCCTACACTCCTTCTTGTAATAAATCTTTAACTTTCTGCTCTGATTTCTCTCTTTTTCCAATTTCCCCTTCATGGCCTGCACACTTTTTCCTCTCAACCTCCTGTGTCCTGCTTACTCTGCCTTTTGACCTGCAGATGAACTGTACACTCAGAAGCTGAAATTCAAGGCTATCAGCGAGGAGCTGGATCATGCCCTCAATGATATGAACACCTTGTAAACCCTGCACTCTGCCGACTTTGCATCTTTAGAAGCACTTTGTCTCTTTTATTCCTTTGCATTCAGAGTTCCCTTCTCCTTCTTTTTGCATTAAACTGAAGCTTAATAAAGACCTTTTTCTCTTTTACCCTGCCTTCTGTCATTCACTGCAATCTGCTCTTCATCACTTTGCAGCTGTTTCTGCATTTTTCTCACTATGAGGCTAACAATTTTACAGTTACCTGACAAACAGTTATATTATATATTTCCTGCTGCTTTTCATTACAGAGAACTTATCACACGCAAAAGAAGAAAACATAGGAATGCACCAAGTCCTGGACCAAACACTGCAGGAGCTCAATAGCTTGTAAAATGCCAAGAAGAACATCAAATAAGTAAAAAAACAAACAAACAACAACTTTGTAAAAGATATTTTCTACATGCCATCCATTTTATTTTATTTTTTTTGCAATTTCACTCTTAATTTGTAAAACACATGTAGCCCTTTTATGTATTTATGGTCCTTTTTGTTCCTTTTCCTTTTTAAAAAAAAATGGTTTTGGGTCCACATGATTTCAGTATTGGTGCTAGGAATTGTGTTGTAGACCAAACTCTGTGCACAAATAAAACTGATGATGACGACGGTGTTAATGCTGCTGCTGATGTTTTGTGTCATGTCCACGAGCCAGTTTCAACACATCTATAAACCGTTCCAGGGAAAAGAGCTCACCCTTCAGTTTACATGTGCTGGCATGCACACTGTCCTCTCTGTGCTAAGACAGCAGCTTTTTTTTTTTTTTTTTTTTTTGCAGATACTGAATCTCTTCTTTCACAACAGTAGTGCCACTGAGTGCTATAATCAAGAAATGGCACAACCGCATGAGGTTAATACTAAAGATGTTATCAGAGTATAAGTGCGTCCTCAAACTTCTTATCGAGCTTCTTGTGACTGTGAGCTTTAAAATAAACAGTTCCAGTTGCTTTATGCTGTACAGTAAAGATAATTACTGAGCAATAAATGAAAAGTTAAAGACTACGTCCTCAACATTAAACCTCAACATTATGCAACAATTACTCACTATTAGAAACACGATCCAACTCTGCATCAACACTTATTGGCTTCAGCACAAAGTGTTGCAAAATCGTGTGAGTCTTGTTAACAGACCATGACAGAGGCCAGGCAGTAAAGAAGGCTGTGTGATCTGATGGAAAGTTTTGGAAACAACGGTTTTCGAGACGCTTCAAAATGCATTAACACAAAAAAGAAAAGTCCTACAATTCAGTTAGATTAAAAAAAGAAAAAAAAACCTTCACAACAACAAGATTAGTGTTCACTATCAATCAATCAAATCCTTATTTCAAACACATCAAGTGTTTTAAATACACATTAAAACAAATGAAAATGAACTCAAATAAAACCATTATATTCATTCAAAAGAGTGGTCAATTTTTTGAATTGACCACTTCCCATTCAAAAAAGGAGTAGGAGGAAGCAAATACTTATTAATTCCTACCACTATAGCTCATCACTTATCTGTTTTAATCATATAGTCTAATGTATACATATATGTTATAAATAAATATACCTATCTAATACACAGTCCCTTGTTACATGTATATATATCTTTATAAATGGATCTATAATTCTTTTTACTACACCTATAAAAAAAATTATATGTCATTGAATACAATTAGACCTTCTTAATGTACAATATAATATTTAACACCACTATGCATTAATGTTATTAATATAAAAATAAGGCTCCTTAAGACATGGATGCACAAAAACACTTTTTCTCTCTCCTGGTTACTAAACTAAACCACAATTCCTGGCTTATGCTATACGCCTATACCGTCTAAATAAACATGTTCACACAGAAACAGATGAATGCGTAAAATGACTGTTCACTCAACTCGCTTTTAAATGCAACTTTTACTTTAAACAGCTATTAAAAAAAGATAAACCAGGTAAAATAATTATTGTTGTTTTGTAATCATTTGGTTGTTTTGCCTTTCATCTTTACAGTTTCCTTTTTCACTTTTACTCTACTTTCCAACCTCATTAAAAGTCCTAATTGACCCTTTTTTAGGCTGTGGTAATTTGCATTTCATTTTTTTTCTTTTGTTGAATTGTAATTCAAATGGAAGTTGCTTTTTTAATTAATGAACACAAATTTCCCTTGATTTCCAAGTATACCGAAATGTAAGAAACAATGTAATCCTGTAGTAGTATTAATGTCAGTAAATGCTTTGAGTTGAAGCTGACAGCAACTCAAATAACCACTCATTGCAACCAAGGTATGCAGAGTAGCACCAGATATCAAGTCTTGAAGCAGATGGGCTACAGCAGCATAGGACCACAACAGGTGCCTCTCCTGTCAGCTAAGGATGGGAAACTGAGGATACAGTTTACACAGGCTCACCAAAACTGGACAACAGACAACTGGGAAAGTATTGCCTGCCATTGTTTGAATGCCAACCCTGCCTGTCTAGGTTGCTGGTGTTGCTGTCCATGTCCATCCATTAATGCTGTGTCAATCCCTTAATTTGTGTACCCAGCTGGATAATACATCATGTCACAAAGCTCAGATCATCCCAAACTGTTTTTTTTTGGATATGACAATAAGTTCACTGTATTCAAATGGCCTCCACAGTCCTCAGCTCTCAATCTGGGTACAGCAATTTGGGTTGTAGTGGAACCCAAAGATGGAGATTCACGTCATGAACCTGTAGCTGACAAATCTGCAGCAACTTTGTGAATTTGAACCAAAAGCTCTGGGGAATGTTTGGAGCACATTGCTAAATCTATGCCGTGAAGAATGAAAGCAATTCAAAAAGCAAAAAAGAAACCCAAACTGGTCCTAGCAAGGTGTACATAATAAAATGGCAAGAACAAAACTTTATATTGAATTAAGGCTATAGTTATACAGTAGAGTAACAAGTACAGTAGATTTTTTTAAAAAAGCATAAAGTAGCACAGGTTAAATAAGTCACAATTATAACCTGGTCTACCTTAAGTAAGCCAACAATCTAAAGGCCTCACGGTCACAGTCTGAAACGCTGTTGAATTCCGGGCCAGCAGGGGGCGTCATTCCAGCTCATTTACATTGCTTCTTTGCCGGGCGGGATTTCCGCAATAATATCAAGTATGGCGAAAACATACGACTATTTGTTTAAATTACTGTTAATCGGAGACTCTGGTGTCGGGAAGACCTGCGTCCTGTTCAGGTTTTCGGAAGACGCCTTCAATTCAACGTTTATCTCAACTATAGGTGAGTATTTGGGGGGAAACAAAAACCGAGCCATTCTCTGTTTACAGTACGTCAATGGGCTTCCTCGGTGAGGCCGTCTACTTGCTGGATTTCAGCAGAAGGAACTAGTTTCTCTTTTATAGAAACTATAGGCAGAATGTGTATTTGCTAAAGTAGCAGCAGTACGATTGACTAGTTAATTCAGTGTAGTGAAGTGAAGCACTGATAACCTTTGTTTGTACGTGTGGCTTATGTTTAAGCAGAAATGTTTTGTTGTATAATAACCTGATGCCGGGTTGCTAACCAAGACGGTTAGCCGAGTGGCACATTAGCCGTTTGGCTCCGTCTACATTCTTGAAAGACATACGAAACACGGATATTTGGTGTAATGGTTGTTTATTATCATATTCCTGTAGCTTATTGGCAGCCCGTAGGTGTTATTTCGCTTGCTGAAAATGTAGACTTAGCCAATGTTGACAGCTAGAGCCGAGCTACTAAGCTATCGTTATGATTTGACATTCATGTTGGGTTTTTATTTTAATCGCAGGCATTGATTTCAAGATTAGGACAATAGAGCTTGACGGCAAGAAGATAAAGTTACAAATATGGTAAGTTTAAAGCTGGACATGTGACATAATTTTGCCGAGAATGTTTTGTATTTGTCATTGTTTTAATTTAGTTTTAATACACATTTAGTGTTGGTTGATTTTTTTTTCCAAATAATTATTTTCAGTATTTTACACTATGTATATACACTTTACAAGCTCTAGTTTAATACTTGAGTTCACTGCTTATGTGCTTCTTATACATTATCAGTGATAAGAATCACAGATGTAATCATTTTTAAAATTAATGTGTTTTAACCACTACCACTTTTTCCATGAGTGGACATTACATTGCGTGGTTTGCAATGGATAATATGCCTCCACCTCACCCTATCTCTAGCATCCTCATTTTCTGTTACACCAAACCCCTTTTATGACCTTCACTAGATCCATTAATCTTCTCTGAGGTCTTCCTCTTTTCCTCCTGACTAACGGCTCTATATTTAACATGCTTTGCCCAATTTCAACTATTCCTCCAGTGCACATGGCCAAACCGTTTCCTTTTTGTCTTTGTAATAGTGTGTTCTAGTTAAAGTTGGCAGATGGAATTTACATCTGAACTGTTCCCTCAAGTCAGATTTTGAGCTTGGAAAGTTGGAGGAGCCTCAGAAAAACCAGGCTTAACAATTCAAGATGGCAACCATGAACAGTAGTAAAATTGTAATACTCATACTCTGCACCGCCACTGTTGTGTATTTGTGACTCGCTAAATTAGAACACTGACCAGGTTGTATCCATGAACCTGCTACAGCAGCAGCTCTACTTTGATAAGTAGCTAAACAAATCCTGTTGTTGCTCCAACTTGACTACTGGAGCATGCTCAGCTCAGGATTTACATCTCTCTTGATGCAAATGAAGTGCAGCATAACTTTGTCTCTAAACCGCTCAAATCTGAGCTGTCTCTCTGATGTAGTCATTTATAAACCTGTTCCTCAAGATCACTTTCAGCTCTGCCACCTCCAGCTTTGCCTCCTGTGTTTTTGCTAGTGACATCATCCTCAAACCATTGTTCTTGTATAAACTTTCCCTTTCACTAATGCCACTATCCTTCTGTTACAAATCACCCCAACACTCATCTCCACCCACTCCACCTTGCCTAAACGCTCGTCTTCATCTCTCTCATAAACTGTCCAGTGTTTTGGATGGTTCACCCCAGGTGTTTCAACTTATCCAGCTTTACTACCTCTGCTCTTCACTGTTATGTTATGTCCTCCTCTCATTCACACATGTATTCTATCTTGCTTCAGTGACTTGCAATCCTTTTCTCTTCACTGCATACCTCCACCTTTCCAAGTTCTCTTTGGCTTCCTCCCAACTCTCACTACAGATCACAGTGTTGTCTGTGAACATTGTAGTCTACAGAGACTTCAGATAGGAGTGTATGTAGAATAAAAGAAATACATTTTAATGTCATTTACACAAAAAATAAAGCCACATAACTTCCAGACTTTAATAAAGAGGGCTAAAGTCAGTTATTAGCAGATCACCTGTTAGGCTTTTTGCTTCAGTGTAGTGCCATATTTGGCTTCTACCGTTAATGTTACCTGGCTAGCTAGGAGTACCCAATTGTAATCCTAGCTAGCATAATTTAAATTTGACAATTATTGTAAGGTTGCAGATATTAGTATTATAGTTTGTTTATGTTGAAGAAAGTTTTGTGTGCCGAGATGTTTTCCTTGAATTTATTATTTGTTACATTAATGCACTGTTGCAGACTTAATACAGTTACCCACAAGCACTACACAGTAGTAATATACTGTATGCTGGTGTTTTACTCCTGTACCAATGAAGAGGTATTTAAAAAGCCCGTTACATGTATGTTGGATGTGTTTATACACTGCCAGCTCTATATCAGCCTGTTCAACTAGCGAGTTTAAGATAACTGTTTCATCAGTTTTAATATACATTTAGTGTATTAGCTGTCATGCTTGATATTAGTTAGAAATTTGTGTTAACTTTTCTAATAATTTCCACAAACATTCAATTTGATATTTTGTCCTTAAGCTTTCAGATAACTAATGATGTTTTTTCTTTAGGGATACAGCTGGTCAGGAACGCTTCCGAACAATCACAACAGCCTACTACAGAGGTGCAATGGTGGGTATCTTCACATGCTGACAGACAGATGTGATTTACATCCTCTTTCCTGTTGAAGGTGCAGCTTCACCTGCATTTATTTATGATTGTACTGCTCTTTACAGGGCATCATGCTCGTCTACGACATCACAAACGAAAAATCCTTTGAAAATATCAAGAACTGGATAAGGAATATAGAAGAGGTACATTCTGGTCCAAATATAAACTCATCCACTTATGTTCTACCCATCAAAAGTCTGTATGGTATCATGTACCGTTTTAAAATTCAAACTCTTCTAATCCAGCATGCGTCAGCGGACGTTGAGAAGATGGTCCTTGGCAACAAATGTGACATCAATGACAAACGGCAGGTGTCCAAAGAGATGGGGGAAAAGGTGAGAAGCTTGACAGATGCATGGTCTCACATAATCTTCTCCAAAGAGTTATTTTCATGTAGTCACACAGTGAGCTCTCCCTGTGGGGAGGAATGGTTGGCTGTTCTTGCAGTTTCAGGTTCACCAGCACAAACACACAGTGAAACTGAGAGGAGAGAAGAGAAACTAGTGTTTCTGCCACTGTAAAGTTACATTAAGATCTAGTTTAAAATCAGTCCAACAGAAAGACATGTTATCATTCTGTTTTCTCGCGTCTGTGTGCATTCACATCTGGGATATCCATGATTTTACAAAAGTGTTTCTTCCTTGTTTTTATTATTGCCTGGTTGGATTTAATGCACTTTTACTACCTGTAGGTGGCAGTAAAACATCGGCTAGGTTTTAAACGACAGGGTGCACTACCAAGTACCATGTGCCAGACTGAGGTTATATGTCGCTGTAATATGCAAAGCCAATCATTATTACAGCCATCAAAGGGTCTTTTATGGATTAAATGCATATAACAAATGGAAACGAGGTAAAGCTAGCATGGTGAAAAGTCTGACACAGCTGTTTATAGTCATTTAAAAGCAGTTTCCAACTATTGGAAAATAGGCGACTTGTTCCTAGTTAATGTTAAATAGCGTGCTTGCTTGAAATGCCCATTCTTAATACACATGCATCTGAGTTAGTGTTGGTTACATGCAGGGGTTACTGTAAGTACATTTTATATAAATTTACTTCATTGATGGAAACCAACAAGTAGCTGGTGATACTCTGTGTCATTTCCACCTAGATCATCAGTCGAGGGGGAATCTTAGTCATTATTGCAATGTTAAAGTAATATGCTTTGAATAAAAGTGTCAGCAGAATTTTTTTAAAGCTTTATTTATTTGTTTATTTATTTCAGCTTGCACTAGAGTATGGAATAAAGTTCATGGAGACCAGCGCAAAGTCCAACATCAACGTGGAAAATGTAAGCACTTTGTCAGCTAGAACACATGGCACAGTTAATTTGATACGTCATGTAAACATTCAGTTCAGTTTTATTTATATGGTGCTAAATCACAACAGTATTTGCCTCCAGAAAAACCCCAAATCATGTCACCTGCTTGTGTCTAATATTGATGTCATCTTTCGTGGTTAGAAAGCGAAGCTCCCATATGCACAAAATTAAGAACCTTGTTGGACTTTTTGTCCCAAAGCCAGTTGCGCCAAAGGGCTGCCCCTCGCTGACCTGTTTCTGCTGGAGGTTTCTTCCTGTTAGAAGGGAGTTTTTCCTTCCCACTGTTAGCAAGTGCTTGCTCAAAAGAGGTCGTTTGATTTTTTTGGGGGGTTTCTCTCTATTATTTTTGTGTCTTCACCCTATAATATAAGCACCTTGAGGTGACTGTTGTTGTTACTGTTTGGCACTATATAAATAAAATTGAATCTAATTTAACCTTGTGACTATTAGGTCCAGCTGCCTTAAATTCATGAGTTGAATTTACGGTAGATGAAGATTAGAATTTTGAAAGCATGCTTTTCTGTTTCACAGGCGTTTTTGATGCTGGCCAGAGACATCAAATCAAAAATGGACACAAAATTGGTAAGGATAAAACTGTGAGGAAAATGATCAGCAGCTCTTGTGGCTCTCTTTATGGAATGTTTTTGCATTTTTCCAGCTTGTGGAAAACTGTGCAGCAGATGACAGTGTTTTGACTTGTCTTTTGTTTTTCTTTGTTGTTTTTGCTGCAGGAGGGCAACACACCGCAAGGAAGCAGTCAGGGCGTAAAGATCTCAGAGCCTCAGAAAAAGACCAGCTTCTTCCGCTGTAGCCTACTCTGAGGACTGAGGCCTTTCATACTGACTGGACATAAATAGACTGTTCTTGCTCTTAGCACTTCCTCCCCCTTTCTCTCCAGCTATGGTCAGTCCTAAAAGCCCACGTAAGCCATTATATTGTCAGTAAATGGAGGACTTCCCCTCCTTGCTTCCTCTTCTGAAAGCTTCCAGAGTTTCATCTTTTCCATTTTAAGGATAAATGTTGACTTCATGAGTCATGGTGCTCTGCTGGTTGGAGGACTCAGCCAGGAGCATTATCCAGATGTTCCATTTAACACAAAGGAATGGGCTCTTACTCCAGAGTTAGTCTCTTCATTATCCTCACTCACTCATTCACACAACCGGTAGCAGAACCAGGGATGAGAAGTCATTAATAGTTTGTGGACTGGATTACAAATGTGATATATTTAGATCTATTTTTAATAGCACTCTTTCCCTTTTTTTATGTGACAAATTTCAACCAGAGGCCGATGAGCTTGAAATGCTGTGAAACAGAGCTGTACAGGTTTCCTTTTCACTGTCAGTCAAGGATCAGACAGAATGAGCTGAGAGCACTGCTCTTGTTGTCCTTGACAATCATTTTTTTGTGACTGAAAATGATTACTCCACCATTGGTGCATTCTCCTCCTTTCAGTGAGTGATGAAGAGGAATATATTATCTTAAACTACAGTTTAGGTTTTTGTCATTCTAATGATGAAAATGCAAATACTCTGTTTAGGAACATTTCTTGATGTAGCAAATGACCAGTCTTAAATTTGTAATAATAGGATTACTGTGACAATGAGACCTTAATTTATAGTTTGAAATCACAGCCTATTTGAAGCCACTAAAGATGTCCTAAAATAATCAGTTTATTGTCACATGAGGCAGAAAAGCAGCAATCTCATTTATTTGAGATGCTGCACTTATTGGTATTTATCTTGAAAAATGACTTTTTAAACGATTTATTATTGAAGTTTGTTTCTCTCCTTTGGTCTGTCGCCTCAGCTCTTTTTTAAAATAGATTGATGTCTGAATTTTTCCTGTCAGCTCTTAGTCGCAGTTAAGCTGAATGACGTCTCTGGTTGTTTGATGAGCAGTTAAAATCACTTGAAGTTTCACACTGTAAGCCCCTTCTGCCCCTTCCCTGCTGTCATGCAGCTCTCCTTGCACTTTACCAGTAAATTGTGGTTTGTGTGTAGTCTGTGCCAAGTGATAGTTTTGCAATACAGTACAGCTATAAATTTCTTTTGCTCCTTTTGAGTCTTGGTAATATAAAGGACATATATTACCAACATTTTACAACACCCAAAGGACTTGATCTCCTCTGGTAGTTCACAGCTAGCAGTCCACTGCCCTGTTATTAGTTCTCTTAAAAACGTTTCCTTCCTCAGACTGTAAGTTATTTCAGCATATATCTGCGTGTAAAAGATAAGTCTTTCAGCCTCTCTTTTTTTATACTACTGTGCTTGCCAACCCGTAGTTTAAAAGTAATATTTTATGAGTTTACATAGAGATGGCTTGAATTAAGCTAAAGATGGCCCTGTTTGGGGTATTCTGGATCCTTTTACAGGTTTGTTTTTCCCCATTGTGGACATTAGATCTGACAGCTAGGTGGCGCCAGAAGCACACGGTGCATCTTAGGTAACTGCCAAACTTCAAATATGAATCAGTATTTTATTAGAGACAGCTAATCTGGGGAGTGTGATGCAATTATGTACACTCCACCTGTGTTGAGCTTAGATGTGGATTCTGAGTCTGTTTCCATTGTTTCTATGTTTATGTCAGTCTTAAAATCAAGTTCCTACATGCACAGTATTGAGGGACAATATGTTTCATGCACCTTTTGTAATATCAAATAATTTGGGACCTCATGAATACCATGGCCATTTGTCTTAACCACTAGTAATCTATTCTGTCATAGGTGAGCTATGCATTGTGAATCTCGGACCTGTGCGTGTGTGTAATTTACTTTTTTTTCAGACATACCTACAGAGCTGTACGGTTGAATGTATGGGCTTTTTGTTATTTTTGTTTTGTGTCAGTCACTGAGCCAAAAAGAGAGGACACGCTCTGTTTATTTAAAGCTGCATTGGTGCATCAGTGCAGGTGAAACTTAGCACAGCGGGGTACTGTTGAGCGGGAAGAGAGCGGGTGTCGAACTGTGAAGACGGCACCGTTTTGTTCGAGCTTTAAGTCATAAACAGAAACATAGGGAGCAAACTTTTATGGGACTCGAGCTGTATAATTTTTTTCTGAAATATGATACTTCCTCTTTGATTTTGTTTTTAAGTCATATCTTTTGTTTTCTTGAAATGTTTCCCTTTTTACAGCCATATTTTATTCCATTAGTGTGAAGTACACAGGGACAATAATAGGAAAAATCAACAAAACATTGTAAATATCACTAAAAAGTAGGTCTGCTTAAATTGTACTGTACTTTCTAAACCCATATAAAATGTATCTACAATTTTGTAGATATGTGAACTTTTGATTTAATAAAATAAGGTTATAAAACTAACCTTGTGCGTTTCAATTCAGTGGCTTTATTGGCTGGATGTCACAGGAAACTATCAGTTTACCCACTGACTGCTTTCATGACAAATGGCTCTCCTATTATTGGCTCACTGGAATATTCTGGCGTGTTTATTGTTTATTGTCCAGTGTAACTGAACTCCTTTTGATACAAGACACAAATCCACTGTTGATAATCATAGCTAATGAGCCTTGTCTTGAGGGATTGGCCGAAGCCTCCACCTGATGAAAGATCTGCAGTCACAGCATGACTGTTGTTGTTTCTGTAAGAGAAAAACTGGATATGGACTCCTTAAAGAATGCCAGAACAATGATTTTGGTCATTTTATTTATTTTTACATTAAAAAAAATGATGAAGATGTGAAGATGACAGGATTTCATTCTGAAGTATTTCCAGTCCATCCTTTGGGGCTATTCCAGGTAGCAAATGTAGAGAATTGCTTCATTTGCTTATATCCTTATATGAAAAGTGCTGTGAACAGAAAGCACTTCTCATTACGAAAGTCAGCAAAAGGACAATATTCTATATTAGAGTCAATAGTTATAACCAAATAACACATCTAGTCCTTGTTGATGGGTTTACATGTTATTGTAAATGTTTACTGCTGGTTTACCTGAGGAAGTCCGGAGCTCTAACGATCATGTGCTGAAAATCTTCGAGTGACAGACGGCCATCATTGTCCAGGTCGGCCTCATCGATCACCTTCTCGCACACCATCCTCACCTCGTCTTCTGTCAGCTCGTTACGAGTCAGCTTGTTCAGCGTCTTCTCCAGGTCTGACTTGCAGATGAAGTCATCGTTGTTGAAATCTTACAGAAAAAATAAAAAAATATCAACAGGTCAAATAATGCATCAGTTAATGAATTATTCAACTTAAGCCTTTTTGTGTCTTTGTTGGCTGTAAATTGAACATGTTTTAGACTAATCTGGTTGGACAAAAGACAGTTTTTAATATATTGTTTTGGACAAATGTGGAACTAAAGCTAACAACTTTTTTTTCACCTTATATTTTGTTAATGTGGCTGAAATATTTAGTGTATGATTAATTTAATGAAGAAAAGCAGGCTGTTTTTTCTTATCCTTTTCATTATAGTGTAACTACGTCACCCTTGTTAGTCTGAATAAGGAATGAAAAGTTCTCGTGTGTAGTTTCACAAGTTGTCAGCTGTCTTTTTTTTAACCGAGGCTTTGACGAGCTGGTATATGATCCTAAACTTTCCATTCCCCATCTGCTGTGTTTACCGATCCATAACCCTTCAGGATGAATATATATTACTGCTGATGATTTCATCGTAAATTTTTTGCACAATAATCAGTTCAGTTTTACTGACAAACCGCTTCTTTAAATGCTGCAAGTTTCAAGATGTGTTTAACGCCCACTCTTCTGTCTGGGATGTTGGAAACCAAACATCCTCTTTCACAACTCAAATCAGGTGCAGAAAATCCAGCGGTATATCTGCATGGCTCTAACATTAAATTTGCCCTTATTCTAACTAATAATGAGCTTAAGTCAATGCTGTTTTCTGCAGTTTAACGTATAGCAATTTTGTTTCCATGATTGCCTTTTGCAAACAGATGTAAACGGTGCATTTAAGTTGTAATATCTCCTTATTTGGTGTAAAATGTTAACATTTAAATGTATTTTTTCAGCTTGCAGTGGCAGTAGGAAGGGTTATTCACATACTTTGTTATGTACCGTGTGTAGTAAAGTATGCACAGTATGATTTGTGAAACTGCAAAAATGTAAAAATTGGTTGGAATTAACATTGGTTTTAAAGAAAAAACAAAAACAATGACAAGCATCCTTGATTTATGAAGATTTTACCATAAATTTTGAAAGCATAGTAGGCCTTGAGGTCCCGTGGAGCCATCTCACTGAGGACAGAAAACATGTCCAAGAAGTCGTCCAGTGTCATGTTTCCCTCGCCATCCTCAGAGAAAACCTCAGCGATCCTCTGTCGAAACGGGTTGTCCTAAACAAACAGTCAAAGCATGAACACACAAATGTTCAGCACAACTAACTTCTGCTTGTTCGATGTGATGCAGTTTAGTCCTGTTCTAACAAAACTCTGCTGTTTGTGATTTTACTTCAGTTTTGTTTTTCTATTTGAAATCCAATAAAGTCATAAAATTATCTTTAGTAAGAAAAACAGCTTGGAAAAAGTGGCAACCTCGGGCGTGACCCTGATCGTGACCGGCTCACTCTCCCTTTCTTGGGGCATGTCAGTGACCAGCTTGTTAACACACCTGTTTACCTTGCTGTCACTGAGTAAAGAGGCATATAATTGACCTATTTCCACCAAGTGTGTCCTCTGGGACCCACCAACATCCTTCAAGTTTAAAGGAGTCAGGTAACATATAACCGCTCAAAGAATTCTGTCGATTAATTGGTCATTAATTATGGATTGGGAACACAGGGAGAGAGCGCGGGTCTGCAGGGCGTGTGCGGACCAGTGCAGCGGGACTACCTTCAGCTCTGGCATGCTGCCAATCAGCTCATATGGTAACTTCACATCTGGGTGGTTGGTGTAGTCAAGAGGAACGAGCTGCGGTGCCAAATCCCGATAGCGGTAGAAGAGTCTAGGAAAGGTTTAAAAAATTTACTATCAATATTGAATTACAAGATATGTCCTATAATATGTAGAGTTACACTTTAAAGGGACAAGGAAAAGTTAGAAAGGAAAAGTTAAGTTAAGAACTTGCTTTTCAGCTACGGACACTATTTTGAAAACAGAAAACATTCAACTTATACACTTTCCAGCACAGTAAAAATAGCCTGTGATCTCAGTGGCAGTCTGCCCCACATCAAGACAGGTGTCCTGATAGTCTAGTTTAGAGTTACAGTATGGTATTGTGCAGAATAGAACAAAATTCAGCTCTGTCAAGCATGCTACATAAGCAATGACTCAGGAGATTAATGAGATCTGACACAACTTATCCTGAGTCCATGTTTAGTTTGATCTTTTCCGCACTGGAGGGATGTCATAAAGCAGGAAGTATAAACAAAATAACTGAAGTAATGTAGGCTCACCTCAGAATTTCCTTTCTTGTGAAATATGTACAGTCCTGTAAATGCAATTTAAATTCAATGTGAGCTGTTTGCATACAGTGATGTGTATAATCTTTACTCAGTAATAGCAATACATCAATAAAAGACACTTATTTTTACACAATTTTGGTAAAGTAGAGAAGTAAACATACAGTTTTTGGAAACAAATTATGAATTGCTTACAAAACAGGCAAAATGATCTCTGTCTGTCTATTACGATTATTATTATCATGTATCAGCATGTTGTGGTGATGTTGCGGTGGATCAAAGCAGTGAAATTTAATACTTTTTTTTAAATGGCAATTATTTTTGTGTAAATATTAATGTTTCTCCAACATTTCTCCATTAAATTAGCACCAAAAATCCAATGAAAAACTTTATCTATAAATGCCTTACTTGCCATTTACCATTTATTTACCATATGACATCTCTAACTTTGCACCTCAAATTACTTCTGAGAGTTTTCTTTTCATCAAAATGATGCAAGTTAAAAGCAAATCCAGTCATCACACAATATCAGGAAAACACTGACTCTGAATGTCAGGAAGTGCTGCACCACATGGGACTGGATCCCTTTCTGTTTTGCTAATAAAAAGTATGAAGAGGTCTGATTAATCTTGTTCGTAGATGTTAAGCTAATACTGATAATGGTAGCTCCATTCATTCTGAGTGAGCCTTATCAATTAATTTATAAAGAAACATGAGTGATACCAACCTGATAGGCATCTAGCTGCTGTGCCGTAAAGATGGTTTGTTTATTTCCCATGTCTGAGTGCAGAAACACAGAGTCTCAGGTCCATCGCTGCTCCGGCATCAAGTCCTTTTTTAAAGTGGGTATGCTAGTTATGAAATACTCTGACAAAGGGAAGCCAGAGCCAAAGAGGAGATCAGGTGTCTGGCTGCACCGGGGCCCTTTGGTCCCCACTATAATGGAGGCATTTCATCGTTTTCTCCGTTGTGAATAGAAACCCCTTTGACAGTGAATAAGGGCTGTCGTCCAGCATCATGCCAAGTGGTATCAACCCCCTTTGGTGGCACACTATGGCCAACGCCTTGTTCGCCACTCAGGTTACACTCTTTAGAAACAGGGTTTTGTAGTGGGCAAATAGAGTTTTTGATGTGAGACAAGTTTTGTTTCAGTTGAGAACTTAATTGTTGTGTGTGTATATCTATCTATCTATCTATCTATCTATCTATCTATCTATCTATCTATCTATCTATCTATCTATCTATCTATCTATCTATCTATCTATCTATCTAT